CACAGCCATACATTGCAACTGGGGAAACCATGGCCTTGACTATACATACTTTTGTTGGCAGGGTGATGTCTCTGCTTTTTAGTATGCTGTCTAGATTTGCCATAGCTTTCCTCCCCAGGAGAAAGCATCTTTTAATTTCTTGGCTGCAGTCCCCATCTCTGGTAATCTTGGAGCCAAGGAAGACAAAATCTGTCACTACTTCCGTTTCTTCCCCATCTATTTGCCAGGAATTGAGAGGGCTGGATGCCACGATCTTGGTTTTCTTTATGTTGAGTTTCAAGCCAACTTTTGCACTCTCCTTCTTCATCCACATCAAGAGGCTCTTTAGTTTCTCTTCACTTTCTGCCATTAGAGTGGTATCATCTGCATATCTTAGGTTGTTGATATTTCTCCCGGCAATCTTAATGCCAACTTTTGATTCATCTAGCCTTGCCTTTGTCATGATGTGCTCTGCATATCAGTTAAATAGGCAGGGCAACAGAATACAGCCTTGCCGGACTCCTTTCCCAATTTTGAACCAATCAGTGGTTCCGTGTCCAGTTCTCACTGTTGCTTGTTGACCCACATATAGGTTTCTCAAGAGACAAATAAGATATTCTGGTACTCCCATCTCTTTAAGAACTTGCCACAATTTGTTGTGATCCACACAATCAAAGGCTTTAGCATAGTAGAAAATTTATATTAAGCTACCTGAATGGCTTTCAACAATGGAAGTTTTGCCTACCCAAATTTAATTAACTATGACAAAGTCGTGACTTATAAAAATATCTTGGCTAATGAAGGAAAACTGAAAGACAGACAAGACTTACAATGACAAGGTATTGATTTAGCATGGTGGCCATATTTGCAAATTCAAACGAGATATGAAAAAGATGTGAAGATAACAGGATTTTATAAAGAACAGACAGAATTTGATCAAATATTGTTAAAAACAGACAAAAAAATTGATTAAGAAAATCTATAGATTTCTGCTAAATTTAAACATGGAAGAAGAACAAGTAAAAGAAACAATGATAGCATGGGCAAAAAACTTTGGATATTTTATAGATTTGGAAGACTGGCAAAAATTATGGGATAGAAATATCAAATTGACTAAAGCAGTCTCATATAAAGAAAATTTGTATAAAATGTTTTACAGATGGCATATGACACCAGTAAGATTAGCAAAAATGTTTAAAAATACTTCGAATAATTGCTGGAAATGTAAACAAAGATCAGGTACTTACTATCATATTGGTGGACAAGCAAAAAGGTTTTGGGTTAAGATCTGGGTGGCAGAACTGTTTTTGAGGCCTCTGGAGCTCGCATCCATGGCCGTGGGGCGATTTTATGGCATGCCAGCGGCCTGATCCAGGTGCCGGAGGCCTGGAAAATGTGGCGGGGGGACGGCGGCAGCAGCACGATTCGCATGGTGGGGGGGCAGCGGCACATGATCCACGTGGCGGGGGAATGGTGGTGACAGCACAATCTGCGCAGCTGTTGGGGGAAAGCCGGCAGCAGCAGGGCGATCCGTGTGACAGGTGGGGGATTTTGTGCCCCCCCCACGGCCGATCCAGTTGGCAGAGGCCTTTTCCAGGCCTCCGGAGCCCGGATCGGGCCGCTTGGGTGCCGCAAAAATTGCTCCGGAGGCTTACTTGGACTCGTGCTGGCAGCTGCCTCCACCATCCAGCCCGGATCTGCCCAGCTCTTGCAGTTGCTCCCTGGCTCTCAGTACAGTACATCTCCCTCAGGGCGATGGCACACGTACCCACAGGGACGGTTCTGCGTGCTGCCTGTTTGCCACCACAGCACTATACTATAGAAAATAGTTCAAGTTGAATTTCCCTTACAATCAGGTGGAGGTTCTAGGGTCCATGCTAAATCATTGGGCTGATATAAAGAGCTTGAGAAACATTGGCTGTCCAGCCCAGGATTGTTCCTTTCCTTTTGGCCAATGTGCTGAATAGTAGTGATGAGCTTCAGCTGGTCCCATGTTCCCATTTTGATTTGACAGCAATATTCAGTTATACTGGCTTGCTAAAATCTATGCCTTTACACATGCCTGGGTGATTTTGCTGAGGAATAGCATCTCATCTCTAACATTTGCCATAAAGCCTGCATATGCTGGGGCAGAAATGAATCTGAGATACAGTAGAAAAGGAGAGGGAAATGCATCCTAATTTTCTGGAAATGATTACTTCATTACTGAAATGAATGTCATTTGCACACTGTTCAAACAAATCAGCTAAAAAGTCTCACAAAAATAAGATTACTGATGATTGCATACATGCTTTCTTTACCAGAGTTACATCCTAAACATCTTAAAAAAGAGAGAGAGAAAAGTAAATTGATTCATGAGTAAAAAGCCCAGTTGCTTCAGTTAGACAAAGTATTAGATTCAGGATTTCTGGAAAGATCAGTTGCACCATTTACGTAAAATGTAAAAACAAAAAACCTTCAACCAAACTAAAGCAAAGAATTAGCTATTTCTATTGGTTTAGCTGGAAGGTGGATTTTCTTTCCCACCCTTTTTACTTAATGATCAAGTCAGGTGATCAGAAACTTGGGTTTCCTTTAGTTTGCATTCAATTAGAGCCTGTGAATACCAGAGACAGAGAATGCCCTATGGTATTCTGGGAAGGTGTTTGCTCTTTCCATTTTATAACTAGTGCTCTTAACAGGGACAGTAGGAGATATGAGCTTAAATTTATTTATTTCCTTACAGTCCAAGATTCCCTTTATGGCTCACAAGTAAAAGTTTAAAAGGCCCTGTTCTCTTATGCGATTGCCTAATGACAAAGCAAAACAAAAGCCAAACCCCTTCTTGGCAGCATGTGTTCGAAGTAGAGCTAGGCACATTCCATCAGTCCTAATAAGATAGTCCTTAGCAAAAGCCTCATTTAGAGTCTGTGCACAATTATGATGCTGATGAAAAAGTAACTTTGCAAACAATCATCATATTTATGATCTTCATGGATAAAGCAAAGGAAAGCTGAAATAATATCATAAGCACTTTTGCAAGTTTACTTAGTAACAGCTTTGCTTAATGACTGAGTTGCCAATCCCGACTGTGGTTGCTAAATGAGGACTACCTGTACTGATTTAGACTGAAGAATTGCTATGGGAGCAGTAGGAAAAAAGTTTTGTCTTATTTTATAGTTTTATATTGAAAATAATCCTTCAGATTGTGTTTCTCAACCTTGACAATTTTAAGGCATGTGGACTTCAACTCCCAGAATTTCACAGCCAGCATTGCTGGCTGTGGAATTCTGGGAGTTGAAGTCCACATGCCTTAAAATTGTCAAGGTTGAGAAACACTGCGACCTATTCTGAGGAAAAATAATGTCACTTATTTTTAATGATAGTGAAATTAGTTAGAAAAAGTAATCTTAAAAGTTGAAAATGCAGGGAGAGAAAGAGTTAAAAAGCTTGTCATATTTCTTTGAAATTTTCCACAAATAATAAGAGAACTGTAGTAAATATACAAGTTGAATTGGAAGGGCTGTAAATTGTCTTTCCCTAATCTGTTTCTTTCCAATTGTTCTAGAATAGCAGTCTACAGAAATTTCCATTAGTATCAGTGAAGAATAAAATATTATGGCAAAATTGCAACTTTTTTTTTCAAGATAAGGGCCATAGTTGAGTGATGCCAAGGGCCAAATTAGAGCTAACAACAACAAAAATCCTCAAAAATTTTTTATGGTCATTTGTGTGCAATTGAAAATAATATGATTTCAGTAATATACCCCAATTAATATACTTATACTTTTTTCTGTCACATTAAACATTTCAAGCCCTTTGCAACTTTCTCCAAAGCTGTCTCAGTGTCAGCCCTGGGAACATACATTGTACCTCATTGCATTCAGTTTACTCCTTTCATCTTATCTCATGTTTGGTCTCAATATTTGCACTGCAGTGAGTGGTTTTTCTGAGGCAAAGTCCCCTGCCATTCAAGCAATCAGCAAAACATTTTCAATAGCTTTCCATAGAAAGTTAACTGTTTTCTGCAGCATTCTACTCTACCATCTTACGGTCTGAAAATGATTTTGAGTAACTGAATTAATGAGATCTTTCTCTAGTTGCTAAAAATAATGATATATAGGATTGACAATGAAGTTGTTTGTAAGAAATAAGAGCCAGCATGACTACCAAGCCTAGCAATATTTTTCTATTGCTTTTTGATTTATGATGTTCTATCTTTTTTTTATTCTGTCTCTGTGCAACCACAGAACTCCTGTTAAAACAGGAATAAAGCACCTATTCTAACCCATTGTAATTTTGAAAGGTCATTAAGCAATTGGTCATAACTTGAGGACTACCCGTATATCTCCAGTTGCAGATAAATGAATATTATTTATACAATATCTGAATTTTTCAGTTAGCATAATTTCTTGTATATTTATATTTGTATTCTGCAGCTATTTTTAATACAAGTGTTTCTATAAAGTTGCAGTGAAGTTTTAAAAATTAGATTAATACAGACAACAATGTGGGAAGAGATGCATGGCTGCTACACTATCTGCACAATGACCGATAATGTTCCATATGATACATGTATGTCTCTTGATAGGTTAGAAAACAAGAGGTTTTTGTGGCATACTCATGTAGTGTTATGTCATGTTTATAACAAATACTTTGCTGTACCAGAAGGTTAATATCTCATGTGCTGGCTTAGACTGCAGCTGCTTATTCTTTTTAAAATTTCTTAAAACAGAATGTAATTATTCACTTGGAAAAATGGAACCAATATTTAATATCATATATCCATATAGCTAAGAATTGTTAAAGTTTAAGGTTAATAGGATAGTTGATTTCTGTGGTCAGTTCTTTTCTCTAGATATGACATACCAAATATTTAGCACAATTGAGACACCGTGAGAGGACATGATGCATCACTTCAGCAAATGCTCTGTTAATGATTAGAGGAAATTGAGTAACAATGTGCAATAGGTACAACTAGGATTTGGAAAACTAATGAAAAATTCAAAATCTCTTGAAGAAGAATATTGGGACATGTTTTCACTCAGAAAGAATTAACAAATGTTCAAAATGTTTTATTAAATTTGGAAGTGTGAACATTTGATTGCTTGAAAACATTCTGTTTTCAGAGCTGTCTTTATATTTATGTTTTGAACCTAGGATTTATAAATAATTTATAATTTATACACATTTAAGTATACCTGACTTTTATGCAAAGTTTCTATCACATATATTATTTCCTTCATCTCTGTAAATATCTGAAAATGTGAAATTTGCAATAACTGAAGCCTCTGAAATTTCATTAAAAGTGCTCCTGTTATGCTTGTGATGATTTTTTTTTCCAATTTGTGTATGGATTGAATGAGGGATTGTTTAATCCCTCATTAATATTTGTCTTGTTTAATGAGTTCATTAAACAAGACAAATATTTCATGAAGTTATTTTCTAGATATCCACTGAATCTGAATGGTAGCAAAGGTGGTCATTTCAAAAGGGGGCTGGCCTAAATTGTTGATCAGATTACATAAAAGAATGCACTAGGAAATGCAATTTATTTTATCTCAGGATATTGGAACAGGTGATATTTGGTACTAGAGTTATGACTGGATGTCCCTTCTGGAAGAACAAATACCAGTAAGTACATTTCTCTTTTTTGTTAATAAGATAGAAATCATAAGAGATATTTCAATAAACAAAAATGAATGAAATGGATATATAAGTAACTTTAAATAACCCTAGAAGCACGGGTTTTTAGAACCCTATTTTTATTTTTATTTTTTTGCAGTGCCTTTAATTGATAAAAACAGAATCAGTCTTGTTGTCTTAGTACAAATTCAAATAATCAGCATATTGATGTAGCCTGTTATATAGTTCTCTTCTATTGGCATTACTTAGCTCTGTTATCATTTCTTTATTCACAGATTTAATTTTAGTAAATTGGCTTTGGAAGATGGGGCAGATGACAAATCACAGGAAGGCTTAAACAAGGCTAGCAAAAGTGGTCTTATCTATGGAGACTATCTACACGTAAGTATAAGATAATGGTACTGTTTAAAAACTGATGAATCTACAACTGAATATTTCTTCTGTAGCTCTTTAAGTATGTTTTATAATTGTGAAATTCTTGATTATTGTAATGAATCTTCAAAAGACATTCAAGTTTTAGCTATAGATACTTAATCTGTCTCAGTAACCCCAATAGGAAATAAGCACTTGTCCCCCCCCCCCAATCCCAAAGTGGTTCACCCAAGCAGCTGGGTGGTTACAGGTCCTATTTTATAAAGGCCAGTGTTCCATTTGAAGACTTGTTTCCAATTAATTGCAGGTGGGTTTTTTTGATGATTCTCCATTCTAAGTCTAGTTTATAATAGCACCTAGACTGCAGCATGTATAGTAATAGTAATAGTAGTAAAGTTGGAAGGGATCTTGGAGGTCATCTAGTCCAGCCCCCTGATCAGGCAGGAAACCCTACACCCTTTCGGACAAATGGCTGTCCAGTCTCTTCTTAAAAACTTCCAGTGTTGGAGCATTTACTTCTGGAGGCAGGCTGTTCCACTGATTCCACTAAGTTATGATGAGATGTACTGTATATGATTTGTGGTACTGTATTTTTTTCTTAAATGTTGCAAAAGCTAATTTATCTACTGCAAGCATATTGTTCACAAAATTTTTAAAAATCAGGAATGAACAGTCTTTGTAACCTAATGTGAACTACCATTTTCCCCCCAGCAAAATATATTTTGAATATTAGCATATTGGATTTGTAACAGAAGAATATGTTATGCTTTGCCAGTTGTACTATAGACAACAGTCATGGATTTTTTTTAAAAAAAGATAAGATGGCAGTGAAGTCTTCATGGGGCAGGAGAAAAACACCATGTTATGCTTTTATTTTTAAATTATTCATGTTTTTCCAGCAGGGTTTCCCTGCCAGACAAAAATCAATAATAAAAAAAGAATATTGAAAAAGCTCTATCAGTAGAAATGCAGCTTGAACAAACATGTTCTTATCCAAATCCATAATCCCCTACATTACTTTTAGGCTGAGAGTCACTTTTATTGACTATTGGGTTCTCCTCTCTCTCCCATCCTCCAAATTATTCTTGTACTGCTGCTGCTGTGGCGATGGCGGTATTTTTCAGCAGAAAATGAGGTCTATTTGATACCTAATTACATTAGCATGGGGAGGGGGCTGCAATAATTTTGCCACGTTAAACATTGGTGCTGGGTCAAAAATACATGGTATTCCTAGGCCATGTTGACGATGGCATCATCTCCTTCCAATGTGATCATTTGCATTTTTAGAATGATTCAGAGAAAGGAAAGCATTGGTGCTTCCCAAACTTTGGTGTCCTTGTCACCCTTAATCTAAGGGTAGCCCTATTAAATATATATGTTTAAAGACATTGTATGTATGGCCACAACTTTAAAGCTGTTGTTTTAAAATATAAAAGACTGATTATCAAAACTGATATGTGAATATTTAATAAAGATATTCATTATGTGATTCAGAATTAGTGACATTATCTGCAGAATTATTGCAAGATCACCTTGATTTTCTTTCTTATAAAGCTGGATAAAATATTGAATGCACAGGAACTTCAGAGTGAAAACAAGGGAAACAAAATCCATGAGGAACATCTGTTTATTGTGACCCATCAAGGTAAATCCTAAATAATCTAGTTCATCTTATTATCTGGTGATTACAAATACATGTTTGCCTGTTAATAAAAATGATTTGTTCTATATACTATTTAGGATAAGTAAAAGCATGTATAAAAACAGCTAATGTAACTCCTTAATTTCCATAACTATATCCTAGCTGAACATGCTGATGAATAGTATTTGAATTGTCTTCAGACTTGGAACAATTCCTAGATTTCTTAAAACCAAAAAGGTTAAAATGTGTATTATAGGCAATCTTTCTAACTTATGCCAAAACTGCTAGGTTTGCAGAATGTAGAATATATATGCAATACAAAAAATATGCAAATAAACTGAAGTTCACTAATTAATTACCATTATTAATTCAGTTATTAATTATAGTTCAGATATTTATTGTGCTTATTCTATTTTGTGATTTTAAAACATGTACATGGACACAGATCTGATTCTGTTACATGTAAAATTATTTTGTATTTACATTCTATACATGCTTTCAGTTTTCATTTCATTTCATCCATAAATTTCCCTGGCTAGGTTTACACTGGAACATAGGTGTTCCTAGTTTTGTTTTGCTAACTTTTTAAAAGTTATGGTATTTTGCATCTAGTAAAACCCAATATATGTCTGAATCCAATTATATTTCATTTCTAGCTACCTACTCTGAAAAAAAACCCCATTTCTTACTCTCTCTGGATTCTGTCATACTATGAAAGGGGAGGAGGATAAGCAAGGGGTTTTTATGACTCTCACTTCCTTCATTAAATTACAAAGTGACTGGATGTTGATTCTCATCAAGAGGACTAACCATAACAATATGGCTATCACCTTTCATCTACTCTCTCTCTGAAGTCTCCCTTTTGCCGGCAGTGAGGGAAAAGGGGGGGAACAATGCAACACCTGGGATCTGGGAAAAGAGAGGATGAGTGATCATTGTCCGGAAGAACTGTGGGGTGGGGGCTGCTTGGGAACACTTAAAACATTGAAGGATGGGAGAGAATTCCCCAGATCCTGTCTAGCATGCCTGCAATCATTTTCTCTTAATAAAGATGCCTGTTGGAAGAGATATTCCAAGAGTTCTGTCTTCTTAAGATGTAAAGTGAGATGGGTCCTTACAATATATGTATTTTGCATTATGATATCATGCTGCAAAGTCTGTACTTTTTACATTTGTGTTGTGATGTCACATGCAAGTACATAAGGGGAAGAGCTTTCGTTGTGAATCACAAAGTACATTGCAAAATTTTCATGAAAACATTGGTGCTGATGTTCCTGTCTTAATATTCTAAATGTCACTCTGGAATGGAGATGTTACTTTCAAAACCTGTAAACTCAAAAAGAAAACCATGGGGAGTTTATTTTACAAATGCAGCAGTAAAACTTTGTATAGGAAAGTCTAGGGTTCAAATCCTCAGTCATCTAAAAAACCATCAGAATAATCTTCAATTAAGCTATTTCACTGAGCCATTGTTGAGTAAAAAAAGGCTGAGGAGAAATATTGTCCACACTGATTTGGCATAATGGTGACATAAAGATAACCATTGATCCTTTTTCTATTAATGTTTATAATTAATAAAGAAAAAAAGGACATCTGTGAGAGCATCCTAGTCATTAAATGGTCTCCAGATTTTGGAGATTGGAGTATCTGGCCAAAATTATAGTCATGAAATGCATTATTTGACTAGTAACAGCAGTCATACAAAATTAGTCATTTATATACAAAGTGGCAGCTTTTTGAATTATCCATCTGTTCTCATCTTTCTTGTGCTAAATTATTTTTTTTAATAAGGGTGCAGGCAACTTTCACAAACTTTAAATGACAAATACATTATTTATAACTAGGGGAAAATTTCTCAGCTATATGCTTCTTTTGAGTTTACAGGTTTTGAAAATTCATACTCTAATTTTCCTAAATAGAAATATTATCTGTATAGGGGACTGCAAATTATGGGTGGTGATTACAGAATGTAAACCTGTTGGAGAGCTGATGATTGCAAGTTTATGTACTGTTTAAATATTCAGATATGATTATTATGCTGTTTTCTCTTAACAGAATCATGGTGTGCTTGGTCTGATTATTATTATTATTATTATTATTATTATTATTATTATTAATATTATTAACATTTTCTGCACTGTGAGAGTACAACTAGCAACTTCTATTGATTTGACATTGTAGATTTTCAGATGTACATCTAAATGCCACTTCAGGGACAAATGGGGTTGTGTTTCTTTATAACATCATACTTTACTATTACATTTGTGCGCACATACTGTAGTTTTTATGTAGTTAGACTTTTTCAAAAAAGATGTTTGATTATTTGGCATAAACATTAAGATTGGGATTTTTGAGAAATGATGTGATTCTGATTTAAACCGTTGTATTCAGAGTGATGAATGTATGAAGAATAGTAGAGTGAACATCTACAGAACTTTTGCTCTCTATACTGAAACCATCAAATCTTAGCCAAAGTATTGAATTGGGCAGGAAAAGCAATTGGAAAAAAAATCAGGACAGAAAAGTATATCTACTTACAGCACTTTTAGTTTATTAAAGATATTATAAATATAGAGAAGAGTCTGTTCATTCACTTTTACAGTATTTATTGCATGAAAACTGAACTAATGTTCCTTTCAATTCAGCTTATGAATTATGGTTCAAGCAGATCCTGTGGGAACTGGATTCTGTTCGAGTGATATTTCAGAATGGTCATGTAAGTAGAATAGAACTGTTTTATTTAAATTCCTCTTTGGATTCTGATTCTTATAAAATACAAATTAGATATTTGAAATTTGGATATTCTGAACATCTACAATAATCACTATTTTAGGATGTCAGTTAGATTAAATCTCTAAATCTCTTATGATTGAAGAGCACAATTAAAATCCTTCTGACTGCAGTCCTATACGCTCTTACCAGAAAAAAAAAATTATTACTTGGAGGGAAATCCCACCGTATTCACCGATGTGTTCTGACAAAGAAAGAAGGACATGGCCTCATTAGGCAACAAGAGATAAAAATATGGAAATATCAAAATTGTGCCTGGAGGCTGTGAGGACTAATGGATGGTGGATGGGGCAAAAGAAGCCTTGATTAAATCCTAGTAAGGTAGACTATTTGTAAATGTTATTAAATGACTGTTCTAATTCAAGCCATCTATTATGGGTTGTGATTTTGTTGTTATTGTTCTGCCTTATCAGCCAAGTCATAATATTTATTATATTCAAACTAAGGTGAAAGATGAAAGGAATATGCTGAAGGTGGTTACTCGAATGCAGAGAATTTCATTAATTCTTAAATTGCTTGTGGAACAATTTTCTGTCCTAGAAACAATGACAGCTCTGGATTTTTTTGACTTCAGGTACAAATATTTCAGGTCTTTGATTCATTTATATGTGCAGTTACTGTATTTGCAAAGGTCTTAAAATGAATTTATAAGAAACAAAATATGATAAAAAAGTATTTCAATCCTGGTTCATTGAAATGAGAAGTGCTTGGTGCTCTCTGAGCTTGGTTGTTTTCTTGCAGACATTTTATTACCCAAACTAGGGAACATCATCAATGCTAGTAAAGAGTAGGGTTTGCTCTCAGTTTATATTATAGTGACTTACCCTGTCAGTGTTGGTGGGAGTGGTCTTAGAAGTTCTTTGCTTGGGCTGTTTACTGTTAGCTTGTTTGGCAGTTCCTTGATTGGGGTATTGTATACTTCTTGACTGTTAACCTTGGAGTTAATCTATACTCATTTGGATGTTGATTGCTGGTGGGGAGGTGTTTTGGTCTTTTTGTTCCCCTTTTCACTTGTTGATTGTCTCTTTTTCACAGTATATATTGTTTATGTGACTATTTATGGCTAATTTGTCAGAGTGCCAGGCTTCTAGAAAGGAACTCCAAACAAGCTAACAATAAACAGCACAACCAAAGTAGCTCCAAGACCACTTCCACCAATAATGACAGGGCAACCAGTAGACCAGGGGTCTTCAAACTTGGCCCTTTTATGACTTGTAGACTTCAACTCCCAGAATTCCTCAGTCAGGCATGCTGGCTGAGGAATTCTGGAAGTTGAAGTCCACAAGTCATAAAAGGGCCAAGTTTGAAGACCCCTGCAGTAGACTATAAAATGAGAGCAAACTCCACTCCCTGCTAGAACTGATGATATTACCTAGTTTGGGTAATAAAACATCTGCAACGGATCAACCAAGCTCAGAGAGCACCAAGGGCCCCTCATAAAATACTCAGTATATTTCTATCAGAATTTGTAGTGATGTTAACAGTACAGAAACAGCATTTCACAGAATTGAAGAATAGAGGTCTTTATCCTGACAGAATATCTAGAACACAAAAAAGGAGAAATTACAATGTAGAGAACAATGAATGCAGGGGAAAATAGGAAAGAAGGCAGGCAAGTTCAAACCACATATAGTTAGGCTTATCTGCAGGTTTAACTGGCAGGTCTGTGGTAAACAAAATAGATGCAACATTATTGGATGGCATCTAAGATACACATTACCATATTTTAAAAATGGCCAAACCTTACATGATCACCAACTCACATGAGATTTTAGTGTTCCTGCATGGAATCACTGAAATCTCACAAATTTGCTAGTCTAAGATTTCAGAAATCTTAAAAAATGGTGGGCTTTTTTTTTCCTATTGTACAATTATGTTCAAAACCTTATGAAGACAATTGGTTAATTGTTCTCACTGTTAGGAAGTTTCTCCTTAATTCTAGATTGCTTCTCTCCTTAATTAGTTTATGTTTATGTCTAGGTCAACCTGAAATGGTCAATCTGAAGTGGTCAACTTCTGTACTACATCCTGCTACTTAGGAATTAGGCTAGAAACTTCACATGAAATGTGAATGACTTAACTTTATTCAAATCCTTTAGGAAAAATATGAATGCAGTATGAGTACTTTTATCCTTATTCAGATGTTTTGGATGGCATTCTGGATGTATTAAACCAAATATTAAGTAGTGAGTTTCAACTTAATTCCAGTTTGTATAAACACACACTGTAACTGGACAGATATATTTAGAAATGAGCCTTACATATGTGAGTCACTGCTGATTAAGCATACAAAGTGTCAAGAGATTGGGAGAAAGGCAATAAAATTGACCTGATTAAAATCAATGAGATAAGTTATCCAGGATTAACATAAGTTTAATTTATTTCCAAGGATATGATTCTATGTCACCCTGGAATTCTGTCCAGACTGATGATTCAATAACTTCATCATTACTTGATACAATAGAATAAGGCAAGAAAATCAAATGTGCTTTTTTATGCAGAATAATAAGTCACTGCTCTTTCTCCTATCTTTAAAGAGATTATCTGAGCCCAGCTTCAGGATTTCAAAGCTTACAGTTTCGATTATTGGAAAATAAGATTGGTGTTCCTCAGAATTTGAGAGTTCCATATAACAGAAGGCATTACCGGGATAACTTCAAGGGAAAGGAATATGAATTATTGCTTAAATCAGAACAAGAGCCAACATTACTGCAGCTAGTCGAAGTATGATTTTTCTCATTTACCATTTGGCTGGTCATGCAGTCTTGAGTTATGATTTGTTCAAAACTTTTTCTTTTCAAAAAATCAGGTCAGTTGAATTTAGCCACACTGAAATAGAATAGAATAGAGCTAGAAGGGACCTTGGAGGTCTTCTAGTCCAGCCCCCTGGTTGAGCAGCAGAATCTACACCATAAGTACCTAATCTATACTTGTATCTTTGATTTTTCCTGCCTAAATGTAAAACTTTGCTTTTCTCCACATTAAAACTCATTTTGTTGGATAGGGCCCATTGTTCAAGTTTGTCAAGATCTTTTTGGATCCTGAGTTTGTTTTCTGGGGTGTTGGCTACTCCTGCCAGTTTGGTGTGATCTTCAAATAGAAGAGTTCCCCTTCTATTCCTTCATCTAAGTCATTGATGAAGATATTGAAGAGTACTGGGCCAAAGATGGAGCCTTGTGGTACCCTACTGCTTACTTCTCTTCATGTGGATGTAGTACCAATGAGGATTACTTATTGAGTACGGTTTGTCAGCCAGCTACAAATCCATCTGGTGGTGATGTTGTCTATTCCACTTTTTTCTAGCTTACCAAGCAGTAGATAATAGGTATTGGTAGTGTAAAATATAAGGAATTAAAAACTGGATGGGTGTTTTGGTGGGATAAGGGAAGAAAGACTGTCCAGTATTCTATCTTGTCTGTCTGTTGATGCTATGCTTTGCTATTGGCTAATCACTAAGCATTGCTTGCTAATTCACACATTGCAACTAATGCAATCAGTTGATGTTCACTTCATTTTGTTTTATAAGGCATGGCTGGCAAGAACACCAGGACTTGAACCAGAAGGATTTAATTTCTGGGGAAAATTTGAAGCAAATGTACTTAATGGATTAGAACAAGAATATGCAACAGTACAGGTATATATTCCAATTTATCATGTTGTCTTTAGATTAAAAAAGTAATTTTCCAGAGGTGGCCACCATTTGTAGCAAAATGTCCTGGTTTCAGTTTTAATAAGAGAGCATATTCATATGAATTGTAACTCTATATATGTGTGAATTTCCATATGGATTAGTTTAAGCTTGCTGATGCATTTATTTATGCATGGGCATCCATGGGCTTCGATTATTTTTGTTGAAATACTGGAAGCAGAATTACAGTGAAGTTTTGGCCTTTTAGATATGCATGCAATGTTGCAACATGTATATAAGAAGGATAGGTCTTACATCATGATTGCACAATCATGGCACTGCTTTTATCATTTTGCCCTCCTTGACCATCCTCAGATGCTACTGGTGGGGGAGAACATTTATCTTATGGCAACACTGCATGAATGTCTTCTCAAATAGTTTAGTTCTCAAATGTTGGTGTGCTGTTGATAAGGATAACTTATTTTAACAAGTTCAGACACTGAACCAGATAATCTGACAAAATCTACAATCCTTATTTGGACATTCAACAGATAAAATACTCAAAAACAAATTAATTTAGGAATGATTATATAGTTACAAGCAAACTGAGTTTTTAAGTGTGTATAAGGGAATGCGTTATTAATGTGATTATCTTCATGTTATAATATAGACTGTATTTATTTATGTGCCCATTTGTTTTTAGGATAACAGCCATACAGAATCAATAACTTCCATCCATATTTAGGATATTCCATACTCTTCCTAGTTAGTGCCTTCCAGATGTGTTGAAGGCTGCAGTCTTGGCAAAACTAGAGGGTCACATTAGAGAAACTTCATGAACTATCAAATGATTTATAAGCAGAGGCAGCCAAGTCTGCAATAGTTTCTATCTCATGCTGACATTTTTGTGTTTTATTTTAATCATACATGCACACAAGAGGAACTGTGATTGTCATGAGTTAAACAGAGTACTTGTGGAAAAAAGCTCTGGATATATGAAATGCAAAGGGAAAATATTCCCCATAAATGCATGTATAGCTAAGTAAAATGTTTTTTAAAAAAATAATTGTCTTTGAAAGGCTAAAGAAAACTCCGAGGAAAAAGAAGATCAATTGGCAGAACTTCAGAAGCAAAAAGAAGTACTTATGTCATTATTTGATGAAAAACTCCATGAACACCTTCTTAGTAAAGGTAAGCATAGTAAAGGTAGACACAGGTAGTCCTTGACTTACAACAATTCATTTAGTGACCGTTCAAACTTACAAAGGCACTTACGACCATTTTTCACCCTTACAACCATTGCAGCATCCCCATGGCTACTTGATCAAAATTCAGACACTTGGCGACTGACTCATGTTTATGACAGTTGCAGTGTCCTGGGGTCACATGCTCACCTTTTGTGACTTTCTGACAAGCAAAGCCAATGGGGAAGTCAGATTCACTTAACAACTGTATTACTATAACTGCAGTGATTCATTTAACAACTGTGGCATGAACAGTCATAAAATGGGGCAAATTTCACTTAACAACTATTTCATTTAGCAACAGAAATTTTGGGCTCAATTCTGATTGTAGGTTGAGGACTATCTGTATACATATTAGTATGAGCAGAAGGGGATTTTCAGTTTTTGATAGATAACATAAAACTTTCTGCATTAGAATTTCTGTATTATTTTCCACTTTTTAATTTTTGTAGGTGACAGAAGATTGTCCTATAAAGCAATGAAAGGAGCTTTAATGATATACTTCTATAGGTATGCAAAAAGTGTAATTGCCTCTGTAAATGGCTTTCCTAGTGTTGTTTTTTTACTGAAGTGATTCATTTTTGTTTTAACATCCTTAACAAGTAGGATTAGGATTATTGAGAATAAGAAAATGAGTCCTTGTTTACCAACCATTTGTCCAGCAACCATTTGAAGTTACAACAACACTGAAAAAAATAAGTTTGCAATTCATTTACAATTATTTACAAACTTTGCTACATCCTAGTCACCTGATTTGTGATTTTTAATCCCCCACCTGCCTTTCAGAGCAGAGATATTGCAAAGGAAAAGAGAGTAAGCTGTTTGCTGTTCTACACATCAAAAGCAGTGTCATTGTGCCAGCAACCCACAAAATGGGCTGTTTAGGCATTGACCCTTGGCCGCGCCCACTTTACCTCTAGCCACCCGCCTCAGGCGATTCAAAGCCAGCTTTCCTCCTCTGATGGCCTTCCCCAGCCAGTGTTCACCTCCAATGGCGCCCTAGCCCTCTGCCCCCACACACTTCGTCCCTGCCCATTCGCCCAGGCACCATTTGACCTGGGCGCTTTGTGGCATGGGACAAATAGTCCCCAACCAATCGGGTGGTGGGTAGAAGCAATGGTGCTTCGGGGGGGGGCACTGTGTGATTGGCAGTGGGTGGAGTGGGGGGGGTTAAGGTTAGGGTGCTATGCAAGATTTTTGTTTTAAAGCCCCGCGGCTACTCCACAAGTTTTTTTTTTAAGGGGATGCACTTTCGGACCAATTGGGAACTGTAGTTTTGATAGGTCATACAAACCTACTCCCTACTCTAATTCACACTTGCACACACCGGTAATCCTATATAAACATACACACGCCTCCCATGGACAATTTCCATTCTTCTGTCTCTCCAGAATGCTCTTTCTTCTCCCAACTCTGGATGCCTTCCAGGCAGTCTGTACTACAATTCCCATCCTCCCCCACTTCCTTCCACTGACACCTACTCTCGTCTCCCTGGAATGCAACTGGCCACAACACCCTCCCCCCCCAAGGGCTGCGCCGGGCTGGCTCCTCCTCCCTTCTTTCATTTCCTGATCTCATTGGAGCTGGCTGAGTTGCGAGCCAAGCTGTCCCTCCCTTCCTGGTCCCCGCCCCAACACACTCTCGCCTGTCTACCTTTCCAATGGCCCCGGTTGCTGCTACTCCCACCGCCACTCCCCCTCCCTTCTAGTCCTGGTGACAGATCTACGTGGCCCCGATCCAAACAAATTACTTCTCTAGAACTCTCTCTCTAGGTGATTTCTATAGCAATCTCTCCATTGAGTCACCCCGGATTCCACCTTATCTAAAGCTATTAGTCAAGTCTTTTGCAAAGTGATCTCACACCCCATCCCATGCAGAGTATAGGAAAACAAATGGGGGAAAGCTGCACTAAAGCTTCATTTATCTAGTGCCTGTTTATGTTTATTTCAAAAGAATATAAATAAGCAAATTCCAGCAAATTCTGAGAAGCAAACTTGAAGTCTATTTTCTGTTTTCTCCTGGTTATTTTTAGCAATTAAACTGTAGCAAGATTTCAAATTGCTTTAACAATTATGTTTATTCATTTGGATCTTCTTTTTTTGCCTTAACACAAACTGATAAATGGGAATTCAATTAACCTTCTATTGTTTAAGAGAGGAACCTCGCTTCCAAGTTCCTTTTCAGCTTCTTACTTCTCTTATGGATATCGATGTGCTAATGACTAAATGGAGATGTAAGTTCTTTGAGTATTTCTTTGATGCAAATAATCTTAATTTTCATTTCACATTGCCACTATAGTCAAAATGAAAGATATTTTCAAGGTTGATGGTCTACTCTAGGATTTTGTAACTGACTAAATATTTATTCCATCCAGGAGTGACCTAGATTGTGAAAAGTTACAGAAGATGAGTACAATTGGCTTATAACTTCAGGCATATAATACATTTGAAATACTCAGATATTGCTTCTGCCATGAAATTATCCACATTTAGCAAATCATTTTATTTTAACCTTAGTTCTGCTCATCTAGAATCACAAAACTACCTTAGCTTTTTTTAAAAAAAAAAAAATACAGCAAAATACCGTATGTGATGATTTGTTCTGTAATAAATATATCCCAAAGTTGTAATCTTATACCCATTTTGGTAAATCTAGGCTGTATTAAATCCTGTAGAACATACTTATTAGACGTTTATAGGTATCCATTTTGAAATAAAATAGGTATGCATCTATTTAATTATAAAGAAAGTAGAATATACTAATATAAAAGTTAAATTTGTGGAAATGATGAAACAGTTCTCATTTACAACAGTCTTACATATTCTTTTTGTATCTTAAAATGAAAAAATGAATTAAAAGAGTTTCTATATACTTAGATAACCATGTGTGTATAGTGCACAGAATGATTGGCAGCAAGGCTGGGACTGGAGGTTCATCAGGCTACCAGTATCTACGCTCAACTGTGAGGTAAGTTTAGGAAGCCAGCTTCAGTTTTTGTTATCATTTATGAATATCAAAAATGGATAAAAACATGAATTATGTGGCATCTACATAGAGTCTTTTTAGCAATATTTCCAGAGCAGATCTCATGTTTTTAAGTTTACAAGGGAGTTCATATTGATCTTTTTGTAAGAAACCACCACAATATGCTGTGGATAAAGTTTAAATGTTTGGCTACGTAATTATTCTTTCTCCTTGTGAATTTAATTTCATTTTTTTTAAATATATACAGGTAGTCCTCAACTTAGGATCATTTGTTTAACAATGGTTCAAAGTTACAAAGTTGAAAAAAATGACTATGACCTGTGGTTGCACTTACAATTACACCACCCCCACTTTTATGTGATCACAATTTGGACACTTGGCAACCAGCTCACATTTATAAATGTTTGCAGTATCTTGCAGTCATGAAATGATTATGATCTTTTTTGCCAATTTCCTGCAAAAAAATCCAGTGGGGAATCTGGGTTCGCTTAATGACTATGTGATTCACTTAATGATTGTCATAAAAATTATCACAAAATTGCATCCGACTCAACTTACCACTGCAACAATTTATAACCGAAATTCTGATCAAAATTATGGTAATAAGATAAGGACTACATACAGACATATTCATTTCTCAAATATTTTCTTCATACATCTGATTAGGAAGCATACCTACAGGTACATAGGAAGAAAAAAGAGCATTTTTTAACTTTCTCTTGAACACTAGTAAAATTACTTAAAACACCAACAGAATTAATGAAGGATTTCATAATTAATACAGCAAATATATTGCCATAACCAATTCAAGCTAGATAGAAGGTTTCTGCTGTGAGCAGTCCAAATTACCTTCATGCCATTAATAGTTAATCACATAGATAGTTTAGTGCAGGCAGTTCTTTGAGCAAATAAATTAAGTCACTGCTGATTTAATGTGGACAACATCTGTTTGAATATAATTGGGAAGTCAGGTGGTGGGATACAATGGTGTTGATAGCCAATAGAAAACTGGCTTCCCTTTCTAATTTGAGCTCTATGATACCCATGATTATAGATGTTATTGTCTAAAAACATTTGGAAGTCCAAGTCTAGACAACTTGCTCTAAGAATTGCATGTTAATGAAAGCAAATTTGGATGGTTGTACTTTAACTCAATTGATGCATTTTTAGAATTTTGTTAAATAATATTAAAACCAATGAAGTTTTCCTAAGCAAAAGGTATCCTGGGAAATTATGCAATACCCTGCTAGGCTTTCAGGTTGCCAGTTAACTTTTTTCTTTTAAAAACAAGAAGTTTAACAAATGAATCACTTCAAAAATCATCTCTATTACTGAGATTACATCTTAAACAGACACAGTCAAACCTTGATTACCAATTAAACAAAATAAGTATGCTGTAAGGACCCACCCCATTCTACATCTTAAGAAGACAGAACTCTTGGAATATCTCTTCCAACAGGCATCTTTATTAAGATAAGATGGTTGCAGGCGTTCTAGACAGGATCTGGGCCCAACCCCTACCATTCAATGTTTTAAGTGTTCCCAAGCAGCCCCCACCCCACCGTCCTTCCAGCGGCAATCCCAGGCGTCACATTTCCACCCCCTTTTCCTCTCGACCAGCAGAAGGGAGACTTCAGAGAGTAGTAGATGAAAACTGATGGGCCATATTGTTACGGTCAGTCCTCTGGGTGAGATCCACATTCAGTCCCTTTGAAGTTTTAATGAAGGAAGTGAGAGCCATAAAACCCCTTTGCTCATCCCCCTTCCCCTTCGTAGTATGACAAGAATCCAGAGAGGGCAGAAATGAGGTTTTCCATAGTCGATAACTAGAAATGAAATATAATTGGATTCTGACACATGCTTTGGGTGCCAAGAGAGGGGGGGGGGTGCCACAGGGTTCTTTCCCTTAATTATCATGCCCTTAAATCTTTCATTGCCATATTCAACAGTAGTCAAACGTTTTTGTAATTATTCGACTCTCTCTCTCTCTCTCTCTCTCTCTCTCTCTCTCTATATATATATATATATATATATATATGAATTACTGTAAAAGGTCTCTTTTTGCACATAAACTGTATTTCTTATTATGGGAACCAAAAGGAATCATTTTTGCCTATAGGCTTTGATTATGCAAATCAATTCATAATTGTATGGAGTTGTATAACTGTCCAACATAACTATATTAATTATACCAAAATATTAATTCTAATTATACCCAGTCATAATAACAATTAGCCATTTATATAAAATGCCCCTTAATCAAAGAAACAATTTTTGATAAATTATGACCAATAAGAGATCATCATTATCCCCATAGCACAATTATCATCTGCATGGTGAATAGCTACTGCAGAGAATGCAAAATGCTTCCCTGGAAAATTCAGTCTAATCCAGCAAGTTGATTCCAACTAACATTTTCAATTGTTAATGCTCACTATAAAGGGACAAAAAAAGTTGAAATCTTCTGGACAATAGGAGGTTCTTCCCAGAAGAAAAAAAATAAAGATGTCTGCCCTCACAGTGTCTCCTCACTGCAAACAGTCTCTTTCTGCTCTATTGATATTAGTGAGCATTAGATGAAAGGCTTTCCACACTTGTTTGTACCTAAGGATATAATTTTTATATCCTTTTAAACAGGGCTTTTTTTTGTCATAGAACACCCAGAATGGAGTTCCGGCACCTTTTTTGGATGGAACCTTGTAGGGTAGGCAAGGCGGGTTGTATGACGTATGTGAGTTCCGGCACCTTTTTTTCTTTTTTTAAAGCTATTATAAGAAACATTGGGATCACTAGAAAGCTCATCATATTTTAGCTGCATTTTTCCTGAGGTGACCATTTCCAACTCTTAAGCATTAGAACTAGATGCTTGGATCGAGTCTAGTGTTATAAGTTCTGCTTACTATTATCTATAAAATACTATGGAATTCTATTACCATTAATATTTTTCATTTTTTTTACAGTGACAGATATAAAGTATTCGTTGATTTGTTCAATCTTTCAACTTACTTGGTGCCAAGAAGCTGGATCCCAAAACTGAATCCAACACTTCATAAATTCCTTTACACAGCAGAATATTGTGACAGCTCATACTTCAGCAGTGATGATTCAGATTAACAGCTTTCTTTAGACAAGTGTTACAAACCCCACGTTTTTAATATATTTTTATATATTGAGCTCCACTTTGATAATGATGGCATAAAAGCCTGGAAGTTGTAAAGTCAACACACCAAGAAGTGCAGGTTTCAAAAAAACTTATATTGTGTAAATTAATAATTTATATATGTTTATGTATTTATGCACAATATACAGTAACATAGACTTTAATATATAACTATTTCAATTAAGTAATTATAAAATAAAATATAGAGATAACCAAAAAGAATTTTAAGCTTCACTTTTATCAGTTTTAGCTGATTTATTAGGCTGACCCAACATGTTTCTGATTGCTGCATTAAGTTTGTAATAAAGATATGATTTTAGGTTTATTACATTTTACATTATGTCTTCAAATTTCCTTATGAAAACTTGCTCCTGAAAACAGTATTAAAATGTTTATAAGGAAGTAAAGGAAGAAAAATGTACTATATATTAAAAAAACTGAAGAAACTAGAGATTTATATAGAATTGGCAGCATTATGCTAGAGTGGATTGCAGGAATATGATGGTATTGACATGAATATACAAAAAGGGTTTCATATGAACTTTTGAGACATTTATTTAAAACTTACTAAACCATTAGAAATATTTCAACTGTCATCAATTATTAATTGAAACACTTCAAAATTATATATGTATAAAAGGTTTCCATTCCCTACCATAATCCAAACTGGCAATTCCAATTATTGTAGGCTTATATTCAATCTGAATCAAATTCATAAATGGAGAAGCAAAAACTACACAGAAATATGCTTCTAATCCTCAAATGGTTTTCCAGTAGAATAAAAAGATTACAAACCAAAGTGGAAATACTGTAAATCTCAGTAGTAGCAGAGTATGAAAGAAAATGTGAAGTTGGTTCATACATTCTGCAGCACAGCCAATATAGCAATAGTACTTAGATGTATATACCGCTTCATAGTGCTTTACAGCGGTTTACAGAATCATCATATTGCTCCAACAGTCTAGATCCTTATTTAACTGACTTTGGAAGAATGGAAGGCCAAGTCAACCTTGAGCCAGTCAGGATCAAACCCCTGGCAGGGGACAGAGTTAACCTGTAATACTGCATTCTAAACACTGCATGTCATGGTTCCGACAGAGACAAATAAAGCAGAACTCTGAGGCTTGCAAATTCCTCAAAGAACATGTTTATTAGTTACAAAGTATCGGCACGGTCAAGAGTAAAACCAAGTCTGGATACACAAGTAACAATTTTCCAATACAAAGTTAAGTGTCCCACCCATAAAAACTATGCAAGCAACTACGTTCCCCAATATGATTATTTGGCGGGCTTTTTATGCAGTGCCCAGTCCCTTGTCTCGGGAACAGCTGATGACTTTGATTACCACAGGACAAAATATTATTTTGACTAATGAAGCACCTGGGCAACTCCCCTGCCACCATTCTATGTGGCAACCTAGAATGAGAGGGAAAATAGCTGCAGCCATGCTCATTTATAGAGTTGACAGTCGGCCCCTCTCAAAAAGAAAGAGTCTCCTGTAGGGGAAGCAAAAAGCAGGTTATTTCCTCGAGGCTTATGAGGATATTGTAGAACTTTGTTATTAATCTATCTGCTTTCACATTGGTACATTTCACCCATGTAGCTTCTGACGGGGTAGCCTTTCCATTGAATGAGGTACTGTAACTTTCCCTCATGCAGCCTAGAATCAAGAATTCATTTTATTTCATAATGTGTCTCCCCCTCTACCATTATTGGACCCGGCGGCTTCTTTGGGATAGGGCTTAAAGAGGATTCAGACATAGGTTTCAATAGACTACAATGAAACAGAGTGAACTTTTCCCAACAATTGTGGAATTTTCGATTCCATATAACAGGGTTTATGATCTTAGTGATGGGAAAAGGACCAAGGAACTTTGGCCCCATTTTTCTGCTGGGTAACTTTAACCTTAAATATTTTGTTGAAAGATAAACCAATTGCCCAACATGAAAAGGTTTCTGAGGGAAGCGTCGTTTATCTGCTTGCTCCTTGTAAACCTTGGTGGCCTTGGTCAAAGCTTTCTTCACATTCACCCAAACCTCCTGGAAGGATGTTACCCATTGATCCAAAGCCTGAAGTAGGAGGCTCCTGGGGGTACTCAGGTATAGTCACAAAATCTTAACCTGTTACTATTTTAAATGGGGTGAGTCCAGTGCTACTGTGCACAGTATTGTTGTAGGCTACCTCTGTGAAAGGCAGGAGGTCAACCCAATTTGCTGGTAATTTATATAGCATCTGAGGTTCTGTAACACCACTGCATTAGCTTTTTCAACAGCTCCATTAGGATTTGGACGAAAAACCAATAAAAGCCCCTGGTGGACCCAATCAGTTTAACGAACTCCCTCCAGAACTTTGCAGTAAACTGGACCCTTCTGTCAAAAATAACCTGCTTCAGGGCTCCATGGAATCAATATATGTCTTTCAAAAACATCTTGGTTAGCTTCTGGGCAGAAGGAAGTCCTGAGCAAATGATGAAATGCACTTGTTTGGAAAATAGATCAATCACGGTCCACATTACAGTGTTTCCCTTGCTCTCAGGCAACTCCACTATAAAATCCATGGCTATTTCCTCTCAAGGCTGTTGCAGCAATCCTGGGGGTTTTCCAGGACGTCTCTTCATGGCAGCACAGGTGGTGCAACTCTTAACATAACTCTCAATGTCTTTTTTCATTCCTGGCCACCAGAATTGCCTCCGCACCAGATGCAATGTCCTCAAAAATCCAAAGTGACCCACCTGCTTAGCATCATGACTCTGCTGAAGTGCTTGGAGTCTGAGACCATCTGGGAGGTATAATTTAGAGTCCTTCTAATCCTTAGGGTTAAAAGAGATTTATTATCTTTGAACCAGGCATCAGTCTCTAACTTCTCCTTTAGTTCCTTCAGTAAGCGATCATCAGGACTGGTAGGTGGTCTCTGTGTTTACGATCTGGTTGTTATTTGAGAAGCAGATTGTGGCAGAGGAATAATGGAGTTAATTTACTTCCTCTCGGTGGCTCTTGAACTGGGGCATTCTAGATCAGGGCTTTTCAACCAGTGGTACACGTACCACCTGTGGTAAATTTGCACCTGGCAGGTGGTATGCGACTATCCTAGAGAAGTGGTAGCAGGGAGGGGAATGAGCTGAACCGGTGGCAGCACTGCACAAGCCTGAACAAGAGAAAGCTGGAGCTGCAGGGCTGTCAGGGCTCAGCGGAAGTGCCAGGATCAGTGCCGCTTTCCAGCTGATCAACGCTTCTTTGGGGCTGTCAGGGCTCAATGGAAGTGCCAGGATCAGTGCCAGGCTCCAGCTGGAGCTTGGCGCTGATCCTGGATCTTCTGCTGAGCCCAGAAGAAATGCCTATCACCTGGAAAGCGGCACTGATCCTGGTTCTTCCGCTGAGCCCAGAAGAAACGGCGATCAGCTGGAGTTCAGTGCTGATCCCAGTGCTTCTGCTGAGCCCAGAAGAAGTGCCCATCACTTGGAAAGTGGCACTGATGTTGGCTCTTCTACTGAGCCCAGAAGAAGCGGTGATCAGATGGAGTTCAGTGCTGATCCCAGTGCTTCTGCTGAGCCCAGAAGAAGTGCCCATCACCTGGAAAGTGGCACTGATCCTGGCTCTTCCGCTAAGTCCAGAAGAAGTGTCGATCACCTGGAAAGTGGCGCAAGTGGGCCCAGAAGAAGCGCCGATCAGCTTGGGCTCTGCCCCTACTCCGCAGAGGGCAGATCCCCATTATCTCCAGCCTGGCAGGGGTCTTCCTGCTGCACTGTTGCAGACAAAGGGGGGCTCCAATGAGGAGGAGATGGAGAAAGAGGATTTAAGCAAGCTTACTGTAGCAACCGGAGTTGGGATTTCCCCCAAAACAAACATGCTTCAAGCTTCCGGTACGTGGCGGCGATGATGGCGGCTACTTTGTAGCCGTCCAGCTGGGAAGGTGTCAGAGCCGCGTAGCACAGCGCGCACCAGCTGGCCCGCAGTTCGGAATCCCCTTCCCGGGCAAAGGGAAGGGGTAGAGAACGCAGGAGTAGAGGTAGAACCCCTGAACCCCCTCTGGATTTTTTCCTTGAGGGGGTGGAAGGAGCATTCCCTCGGAGCTCCTGCTGATCTCTGCCTCCCAGCTGTTTTTGCTTCTTCGGAAGCAAAAGGAACCGCCGCTTCTATCTCCGCGGTTAAAGAGTCTCGGTGAGTAACTTTTGAAGCGGACAGAGCGGTTTAAAGGATTTCTTTTTATAGTTTAGTGTTTTATTTTCCTTTTCTAGTTAGTTTTGGTTGTTTCTCCTTTGTTCTTTTTTGCTGGCACGGAGAGAGAAAATAAGATGGCGCTTTGAAAGTGTTCGGCTTTTTTTTTTTCCTTTGTCTCTTTGTTCTTATTTTTCTTGGAAGGTAATGGACTTAAACGACTGTTTTTGATTTCCTTGTTCTCAGTTTTGGATCTTTCTCTTGATTTTTTCTCTTTTTTCTTTTTCGGAATTCTAAGGATTACAGTATTTTTGTTCCTTTTAATTTTTATCTCCCCCTTCCCTTTTTTTGGGGAGAAGGGAAGAGAGAATTGTGTTTTAAAAAATGGCTTCAAAGAGACAACCGCCTTCTATACTACCCAAGGTGGTTTCCTCTCCCACAACTTTAACTATACGACAACAACAACAACCTAAACATGTACCACCGACCCAGCCACCACCTTCCCCTCCTTTGCCAGGCCTGTCTGCACAAGAGATTAAAGACATAATGGGAGATGCTGTATCTCAAATTAGAGATGAAATGAAGCAACTTGTTGTACAGATTAAATCTGAAATTAAAGTGGAATTAAATGAAATGAAGGACTCATTAGAGGATAATAATACTATTATGCGGCAAGATATAGTTACAGCCTTATCAGGTTTGGCTTCTGTGGTGGTGAAGCTGGACTCGATAGTGGAGGAAGTCGCAAAGTTGACTTTTTTGAGGATAAATTTCAAGATATGGAAAGGAAGATGGAGATTTCACAAGAAGATATCCTTATGTCTCAGTATAGGGAGATGGAGCACGCCCTGAGGATCAGGGGTCTGAAGGAGGGCATGAATCAAGATTTGATGGAGATGGTGCTTAATGATTTAGCTGTTGCTTTGAATATGGATAAAGGAGAATTACGCAGAGAAGTGGAAAAAATTTATAGAGTTAATTCCTGGATTGCGAAGCAGAAGAACTTGCCTAGAGATGTTGTGATTTATTTTACAAAGAAGTCTCTGCGTAATGAAATTATACAAGCTTTTTATAATAAGAGATTCCAGATTGCTGCCCAAGATGTTATCATTCTAAAGGAAATCCCATCAAAAATCCTAAGAAACAGGAAAGATTTTGCTTTCTTAGCTAATGAGCTTAA